AATGTTTCAATATTATTACCTTCCCATAGGATAGGTTAGGGTAATCGCAAAATTTTTAGATCTTTTATATCAACCTACTGATCAAACATATCTAGGCGGTCATAGTATTTATAGTTATGTTTTTTTTAAATTCGTTTTGTAATGTTTATCTTAAAAAATAACAATGAATCCTATAATTTCTATAATAAATGTTTCAATATTATTATTTTTCCGTAGGGTAAGTTATCGCAAAATTAGTATATCTTTACGTTTCAGAGATTTCTAAATATTTTATATAGAATAGAAAATAAAGAACTTATTAAATTTATGGGAAAGCAGGTATAGCGGTTTCAGAGATCGAGTAAAAAAGTACCATTTGGCGGTTAAAAATGATCATTAGACATATGCACATCAAATTATAAGATATTTCATAGAGGTTGTTCTAAGTATAAATTTTGTTTGTTTTTCTATGAATCTTTAAAACTGTTTGTCCTTTTATTTTATAATGAAAGTACTAATATATTTAAAGCATAAAAGATTTCAAAATTATCGAAAAATATTGTATTACATGGAGTTATAGAAGTTTTTTCATCGGATTGTTACTAAAAAATAATTTATTTATAAATATTAGGTAAAAATTATATCAAGAAATTAATTTTGAAACTTTTTTTGTGATATTTATATCAAATATTTCTTATATGAGCAAAACAGATATGAAGGCCTACAAAGTATATGTTCTTTGAAACTTTTAGTATAGTTTTCATTGCCAAACTTTTTTATCAATAATTTATGTAAAGATTTTATTGCAAATGATTGCTTACATTAATAGAGTTAGCAACTTAAAACTTAAATATATTCATTATAGATTTACTATCAGTGCTTTTTTCTATGAATTTCTATTTTTGAATCTAACTAAATTAGTACTAAATCAATACGAATCAGTGTTAAAAGCAATTAACCTCCAACACGATACTAAAACTTTTTAAAAATATATATTTTTTCTTCAAATTACCCATGTAGTATAAAAATATTTTACTTATGTTTAAAACTACAATCTCCATTTGTTAATGGACATCCTTGAGGACTATTATAAAAATACCAACAGTCTTTTTTCTGAAGCAATGCAACAATTTTGTCATTGTTGTGTATTTTAGAAGTAGAACTACATTTTTTTGTTCATAAATTTGCGATGCAAAAATTTGAAAAAAAATATATATTCTTGATATTAAATATTTTATGTTTTTGTTAATTTTAGAATTGAAACTACATTTTTTGCTTATAAAGATGATGTTAATTTATTTGTTCTTCAGGATGATTTTAATTGAAAACAAAATATGATGTGAATTAAATTCATGATGTTAGTCGTTCTATACTAATCTTTTTCTCACAAGTTCATTATTACATTTTTATCCATATTGCATAATCATCTGACACGCTTTTAGAATTAATCTTCTCGTCAATTTTTCTCAATTTATCAAGAAAATATCTTCTAACGACTACATTTAGTCACGAAAAACCACCCTATAAGATAATCTTGTTAAAACCCTTTTTGGCTGAATGTTAACCTGACAAATTACCGTTTGACGTTATGCAATTTGTGGTCGATCCATGCCGATGTACCGGATTACTGGCAGAAAACCGATATAATGATTTTATGTAGAATTCGTGCTTTCACTTTGGCCATTAACCTAACTCGATCGTTTTACTAAGAACACTAAGCTTGCTGAGTTTCTTTCTTTTGACTTTGATCCTTGGATTTTCATGATCTAAGACAGAAAAGGATCATTTTGTTGTTACCGGTAATGTTATTCCAAAGCCATAGTATTGCATGTGAATTGAGGTGATGGAGAATAACCGTAATAATAAAAATCGGTTTATCTGAATGGGAATCGTTGAAAGATTTTTCGAAATGTGTATTTGCTACGTGCTTGTATTTGCTGTGATATTCATGGGAAATGCAGAATTATTACTAAAATATGTTATGTCAGACTATTACATGACTTTATAGTTCCATATTTGTAGTAAACTTGCAACATCAAATGTGTTATATAACAAATATAAACTAATGCCATGTAATGCTAGCAAAAATAATACATATTTCAGACTTTTTCTTATCTTTTTCAAGCGAAAAAATATTTATTTTTGTATTTTTTAAAAATTGTATTTATTTAAAATGATGTTCAAGAAAATTACATTATAATTTATACTATTTTTTAAATATTTGAAGATGTTTAAAAATGAATGAATCAAGATAAGACTATTATTATTATTATTTATTTCTATAATGTATAATTTCTGTTTATACATTCTATTTTCTGAATATTTACTTGATTTTCACACTCCCATTAATCTTATGTGCAAAAGTACAAGAACGCTCCACAGTATATCGATTTTTCTCATTGTCAGTTTGTGATGTTTATTTTTATCATTTGCTTTAATGATTATTACATTTACAATTAAGATGATATGCATTTATTATTTATTAATATATTATAAAGAAATGATAATAATGAAAGAATAAGCTTAGTTAAAACTGGTAAAATAATACAATTAAAATTCTTTTCGTCACATAAAGTTTTTATGCTATTGTTTTAGTCCAATAACTTACAATGCGTTTAATGTTACCGCGATATGAAATATTTTAAAAAATAATTATTTGTGTTTATTTTATTGAATTTATTATTATGTGTTAAATATTTAATATGATTTGCATTTTTTTTAAGTGAATAGTGTAGTTTTGTGTATATTTTGATTTAGAAATTTAAATAGATTTGTTTAAGTATTTAGGTATTTGAGAAACATTATTTATTTACAAAATATATTATTTTTAAAGGGATATAAAAAAGGCAATAAACATTTTAATAACACGATTTAAAATACTTATGTCTTATATGCGCTATATGTGTCCTCATATCATTCCAAAGCCTCAGTATAAAGACCATAATGATCCTTATTGTTTTATATTAAGAAAAAAGCGTGAAGAAATCTTTAACACATGAAACAATATAATCAATAAATGATCATGTTGTTTTAGGACAGAACTTTAATTATTAGAAATTTGGTTCTTAAAGAGTATTGGATATACATATTCTGGAAATTTTCTGTTTGATGTTGAAATGTATTCTTGAAAATGTATCAGCTAATAATATAGAAAAAAAAATTCATACCAGAATGTCTTGTGAAACCAAAAGATAAATTCACATTCAAGTATTATCATATCACACTCACATGTTCAAAACATATTTTACATCAATCTAAGATTCTACAACCAAATAACATATGCATTTTTGCGCTAATTTTGCGTATATATAATAACATCCATATATTTGCATACTTATGATTAATTAATATATAGCATGCAGATTTTGTATGCAAATGTTCAATCATAATCAAAGTGCAATATTAGTATGCAAATTGCGTTCGGGATTGTTTTTCTTAATATTATGCACTTGATCATTTATGCAGTCAGCCACATCTGGTGTTGAGTTGATAGACAAATAAGTTGATATTCACTATAGATAATCCTAATTGACAACGTAAATCAAAACCAATCACCAATTCAAACATTGCGCGAATGGCGAAACGTACACATGTCCTTATTTGAAGTCAATTATTTGTTGATGAAGTTAAGCCTGTTTTCATCAATAACCAGAGGACAGAGGAACAGTTAATTTAAATTAAATTGCACTGTACCTTGTTCGCAATATGCATATAATTGAAGCTTACAATTCACCAAAGAAATTGACTTGGAACAATCTGTATTTACTCATTTTTTACCAATTAAATTGCCATGCTGCTTAGTCAGTGTCAATATTTAGGGTGGATCGTTAAATTTTTGAAGCTGTGTTTTATTGGGTCTTCAGTTTTCTTTTTTTTAATTGATGGATACTTTTGAATGTTGAAATAATATTAACCCAATTTGCCATCACTGATAAAAGAAAATTCTAGAGAACAAAATCTAAACTTCGAGAATATAACTCAAGGTGATGTTTGAGACCAATCTGCAATATTTAGTATACAACTAGTTATCTGTAAAGTATTCCAGTTATAAATTAGTCTTATTACATAGGATGCAATTCATTGAATATAGTTTGTTAGATTTAAATTACTATGCTACGTGCAAACTAACCACATAATTTTAAATATTAAATTGATCTAATAAAGTTAGGATAAATTAAATATAACCCAATATGGAAAATTTCATCTCCGTTAAGACAAATAAACCTTTTCTATTTTGGGAGTCAAATTTGCGATTCCTTCCGTCTACCACAGAAGTTCAGGCTGTGCATACGTACATATAAAATGAGCTTTGAATTTAAATTAACAAAGTTGTGTATAATAAAACTTGTTTTGCGAGATATCTATTGCAAATGATAGAATTAACGATAGAATTGTATTATATGCATTATAAAATTAATGTTATTATTTTTTGTTTTTTTATTTTACCCAAGATAGCAAATCATAATTTTCACATAATGATATACAGATTTCATAAAAAAAATGTATGTACTTGAATGTTTAAACTCTTGCAACGTATTATTTTATAAGATATTCGGACTCGAAATGAAATCAAATTAAGATGAATTGTTTTTTCATTAATTTTATTGAAATTTGAATTTTTTTAATGTAAAATGGTGTTGTTTAGATAGTTATCCTAATACGAAGTTTAGAATAGTTTTTTTTTCATTCTCAGTATTGTAAAAAAAAATATTTATTAACGCATGTTATTTTTATAAGAATAATGAATTGACTTGTATGGATTAACTCAAACCATAAACATAATAAGAAAGACTTGATAATATATTGTTATTATGGAGTTTAAATGAGATTTGTCTTATTATTGTTGATATAGTCGTTGGTTTCAAACTTTGCTCGACTAAAATTTCATTAACATCTGCAATTGATTACTTGCCGAAATATTTCAAATATGTTCGATTATATATATATATATATATATATATATATATATATACATTTGGCAATGGCAAAGTGTTGATTATCCATCTCTTGATATTTTACAGGTATTCGACTGCCGGTATGTCACGACTACAAGTGGAATGTTTGAAGCTTTGTGCAACCATATCAAATATAGCACTAATAAAGGAAATATCAGGTAACAATAAAGTATATATATATATATATATATATATATATATATATATAATATCAGTTATCTTGTAATAATTTTATTATTTAACATAGTATGATCTCTGATGTGCACAATTTAATTTTCTGATTATTCAGACTATTGAAGCAGTTTGCCAAATTTATGCGTTTTGGTAAACAGTATATTGTATATCTGGTTCATTTAACAATTCCTGTTAGTAATCATGCCACTAATATAGTGGAGGTAATTTTGTGAACCCTTCGACATTCCCTGTTTTCAGATCACGATAGCATATGTTGCTTGTTTGCACGATGTTGCAAAGTTTATCGAGATATGCTCAATTAATGCGCGTCATGTGGGGCGTAGAAGTGATTTTCAATTAAGACTAAGATAGTTTACTCACTTAGTTATAAACTATATGAAAAGTGATAGATTTCATAATTCTATTTGACTTGAAAACTGTTTTAGGTGAATTTAAAACGAATCTTCTTAAAGTGTAGGTAATTGCTAAAGAAATTTCATAAACGCTGATTGATTGTAAATCGGAATTTTTCATCGCTGGAGAATTTACCAGCACTTTGACTAAATTAATATTTAACGTAATTTCAATATTTTTCGTCTGTATTAGATATGAATTTCATATTGATTTATTTTGTACTATGGGAATGTTTTTTTTAATTAACAATAATTATAGAATTCATTAACTTCACGAGGCGGAAATTTGTTTTCCTCAATAAATCCTAAGTGCTAATTTAATGTTTACGTTGCTAGTCATTATGAATTCTTTGAAACCAAAATTGACATATGAAGTCGTTATTTATGATTAGCAGAATTAATGCAATGTTAGTATGTTAAAATTAAAACTTAAAAACTTATTTTAAATGAATGATTTTGTATGTGATCGTATTTTTATAAGTAATCAAACATTCTTTTAAATCTAAAAAATGTTAAATCATACATTACTTTTAAATTTGAAAAATCAGTTTATTAGATATCTTTTTTTTACTATTGATTCAATTATTTCTTGCATTTAAGATAGATAATGAAGAACCTAATTTTATTTCTCTTTTAAGCATGATTATGAAGAATTTTCGTTGATAAAAAAATAACAAGCTTTTATTGATCTTATTGAACAAGGTTAATATATAGTTAATAGTTTTGATTCTGAAAACGGTTTTATATCGATAATAACGATAAATTTGATGAAACGTTATTAATTTCATTCAAATTATAGTACAATAATCATTAATTAGTAATATCAAATATTTAATAGTGATACCTGAACTTATGCCATAAAGATTATTAATAAAATTAATTATATAATTTAATTATATAAATATAATGAAATATATCGAAAACCAATTTTCATAATAAATATTTATTAGGCTTAATGTTATGTTACGCAATAATCAATGTTAAGTCATGAAATTGATTTTCTCAAATGTTTATTACATTTTAAGCTTATAACAAGCATTTTAATATCATGACAAGCATTTTAATATTATAGCAATGGTTTTGCGGAATAACTGTGTTTATTTTCTATATTTACATATCTCTCTATTTCTTGGCAGATATTTTCTCGCCTTACTCAGCAGTTTTACATTTATCTATTTATTCCTGTGTTACTACGGCCGTATTTAAGAAAAGTGGAACTTTTAGCATACTTTAACTAAGCATGGCATTTGGAATATTGCATGCATGTGAACATATTCTAAAATCTTTATGGGTTATATACATTATTCATAGTAATATGGCTTATTTAAATGCTTTGCACGTGCAAGCCACGGTTCAGCTACGGTTTGTGGAAAATTTTGCGGATAATATTCATTACAAAATTGAAATATGCAATGTATGACTAGGTATATAAATAGTTTTTAGTTTCAAAAAAAAAGTTTATTTTAATTGTTTTTTACTAGTTCCCTACAATTAAATACTTCTAAAAACTAAAATAGCAAAACGTTTCATAAGGCTTATAATTTTGCAGAATATTATGACCGGAATTTATTTTGAAGATTTCATAAAAGAAAACAAATAAATTATTTTAAATGCATTCTCATTCATTCACCAAAATTATCATTTAAAAAAAAACAGGAGTGTGATTAAAATTGGACTCTTTTATTCACTGATTTTAGTTTTGGAATACGTTCCAAAAATTGCACTTTTCAATTCGAATTTGATTGTTATTTTTAGAGGATTTCGGATAATTAGATTTCGATAGATGACATCATTTGAATACAATAAAAACAAATCATTTGCTTGAGAAATTTGATCCGATAATACATCGTTCTTGATGCATTTTTCATTTTGTTTTAAAAAAGAAAATGAACAAATTTCTTTTTAGTTACTCAACAAATCTAAGATTTTTCTCGAAATGTTTGTTTTAAGTAAATATAAATTCCAATATTCATTTTCTATTTTAAACCCTTATTTTCTTGTCTGGATTTTTTTATTCATTGGTAATTTTTTATTAAAGATCTGATAGTTTGTTTCGCTTATTTTTATTAGGGGAAACTTGAAGAGTGCATTTAAAAAGACAAAAGTAAGATTTATGTTAGGTTACTTTTGAGCTGGACGTTTGAGACACTCGCTTTTTTCTTATATGGTTTGATTTTATGACTAATTAGTTTATCGTATTTAAGGACAATATTGCAGTATTACCATGCAGAAAAATGCACAAGTTACCATACTCCTCTACTATCTTTTTAAATCTAAATAACATTTTAACACTTTTCTTTATATTCTCGAAAGTAAACTGGCTTTTGTCAATAACCAAAGGACAAAGTTTTTTCAATTGTTTGAGTCGATGGATCTCACGAAAATGTGGCAGATTTTAACGCACATATAAATTTTATAAAATTGATAGTAAGTTGAAATTTAAACAAAAAAATATTTTAGACTTTTTGCGATTCATATTATTCTAAGTAAAATTAATAGTAGTTAATTGTAGATAACTTATCCTACATGAAATTATTTATATGCAAAATACCTACATAGAAGTATAACAAATATAAGTACCTACTTTGTTTGTACCTAATCAAGAAAAAAGGTGAAGTATATTAATTACCCAGAAAAAATCTCCAACAGCACATATAGCCAAGTCCAGCATGTAATTGCTTCAATAAAACCAAGAACGCCTGTTAAGAGTGCTCCGACAGAATTCCCTCGGCAAACATTAAACAGCTTCCGAACGACTCGGAATTCTGTGTAAAAACATTATATGCAGCTTGATATCTAACAAAAGAATCACCAATGGGATTTGTAATGCACCTGGCCTTTACGTTGTTATGAATTTTTCCATACGTACATACTACTATTCCAAATCCAGTAGAATTCAAAATAATCTTTTCTGTTGCTACCTTTAGAAATATTCCAGTGACTATTTCAATCAATCTTTAAAATCACGTTCTCGAAGATATTATCGAACTTTTACGACCGAATCGTTTATATCAGACTCTTGGGAGCAACTGAAACTATAATAAAATCGTGTAAACATTGTTTTCTCTATTATTTTCTGAGCGCTATAATACGTGAAGATGGTATATAAAGGATTATTGGAGTTTTTTATAACACAGGTTTGCAGTTTCAATCATTCTTATTTCGTTTTTTATATCGTAAAGTTTTTTTTTTATAATGGGCAATAGCCATATATTCCCATAATGATATAAAACTTTATGGAGGAACAATTGTTTTTAATATTATTTAGATAACCTAAAACGTTTTATAAAAAAAAATTAATTAAAATTTCTAATATTAGAACAACTGCAGCATGATTGTTGTAAAACTGGAATTCTTAACTCTTAGTTTAAAATATTGTAAGAAAGCCTGGGTACGGTTGTGCCACTTGTTAACCAGTTAACTGGATGAAAAATCAATTAAATGGTAATTTGAACAGTGTCTACATGGAGATACTAAAATACTGTCTTTAAATACGATATATTAGTCATAAAATCGAATCATATAAAATGGGCTTGTGGCACAATCGTCCACATCCGAGGGACGGTTGTGACAGCGGTTGGCGTCAGTAGTGACAGGCATAAAAATAGGTTAAAAATAATATATATAAATAATTTATAACGTTTTTTATTGTTAACAAAACATAAAAACATTTTACAAAGCATAAAAACATTTAAACAAAGCTTATGAATAAAATATAACATAATATTTTTTTTTAATGAAACAAACAATTCTTCAATTTTTCGTAAATTTTTTTTCTATAATTTTCAATTTTTCTTTTTTTCCCCGTTTGTATTTTGTCTCAGTTAAGTTAGAATTTTTTTTTTGTCTGTTTAATCTTTTTTATCTGTTTAATCTTTACCCGAAATGTACAAGAAATACATGTCACAACCGTACCCAATGCACTCTTTTGAAAACAAATCATTATTATGACTGAGCTAAATTATTTAGGCAAAAACTAATTGCTAGTAAATAATTACCAATGCTCATCTTGAAGCAAAATAATAAAAAAATAATATAACTGTAGACAATTTAATTGTTTTAATCATTCTTTACCTTTCTCCCTTTGGACCCTATTTCAAAACTAGTATAATTTATCTGTTATGACGACTGTCACTACCGTACCCTGGCACAACCGTACCCTCCCTCATCTACTGCATGTAATCATACAATAACGGTAATGATATACTCTTACTAAATATATTACTATACTGTTTTAATTGATCAACAATAGTAACCAAGAATCACCTAGAATTTGCTAGATCACAATTATTTGAATTTTATTTTTTCGGAAATTATTTGTCAATACATAATACATTTTTTCCATCAATTCACGTTTTACAATTAATATATATATATATATATATATATATATATATGTGTGTGTGTGTGTGTTTGTATTTATGAGCCAAAATTTGTTCATATGAGCCAAAATTTGACGTTTTTTTGATGATTTTTTAAAAATAGCAGCGCCAATTTCAAATCTATTTGATGAAATTCGATAAGGACTCACGTTGTTCAGTGTTGCGAGCCGATCGGCCAAGCCGTTTTCTTTTAATTAGCAAATAAATGAGTTTATGTTTTAACAAAATATACTGATCTGATATAAAAACGCTATCATACCGCAGCTTTTATATAAACTAAATAATATTATGATAAATATGTTAGTATGAACGATAACAAAGAAGATAATTGAGTTTCATATTGCTATCAGCAATTTCTCTTTACAAAGCGATTATATTTCCAACTTGATTACGAGTAATAATATTTTAAAATTACTTGATTATATATTTGCACTAACTACAAAACTTGGCAAAATCATTTTTTATTAATAATTACATCTTAATACAAATCTGTAATCAATCAAATCTAACACATACAATATTAGTATATGATTAAATACTGAAATATTGTTCTCAAATACGATACATTAGTCATAAAATCAAATTTTAAAAGAAAAGGGCGGGTGTCACAACCGTTCACATCCGAGGGATGGTTGTGAAAAATATAAAAAGATTTAAAAAAACAATAGCTAATAAACACCAAAAATTTATACATAAATATATACCGATTTATACATAAATTTATACCGATTATTATACTTTTTGCCTATAAATAAATAAAAATTTACTAATTTTTATATACCACGTATCAATTTTTTGCTTCCTGTAGCGTAAGTTATAGTAATGGGCCAAAAATCGAAAATGAATTTTTTTGCATATCTTCACATTTTGGCATACCTTAGAAAAAATGAATGTATGTGTGTGTGTATGTTTTATGTGCGGATACAATTTTTCGCCGACGATTTTGAGAATAGGGATCAACAAATTTGGATGATTCAAAAAACATTCGATCACTATTAATAAGGAGCAAAAAGTGCCAAAAATGGTAATTCAATTTTTGAGAGAACCGAGCGTCCGCTTTGAATGATTTAAAAACATATTTATTTGTATTGATGAAATGAAGAACTGGTAACACTTTTGGTAAGGCAGGTTTAGCGGTTTCGGTAATCCAATAAAAACAGTTGACAACAACGACATTTGGCGGACAAATATGATCATTAGGCATATTCATCTTTTTTTTTCAGATAATTGTTTTAATAATAAGAACAAATTTTGCTTACTTTTCTAGGCGTTTCGTATCAATGTTTATCCGTTACACTGCGGCGCGGCGCTCAAGCGCTTCCATATTTCTGCGAGAAACGTATCGCAATTGCTTTGAAAAAAAATTCCAAATTATTTTTTCAAAGTTCTAAAAAAAATTGAATCTTTTTTAAAAATATAAATTTTTTATACGGAAAGTTTCAGCAATTAAGGCCGATGCCATAAACCACTAGTTAGATTTATATTATATATAAGAAAAATGTGCAAATTATCATAATTGGCTTATGTGATTAGCTTGTTATCCTTCAATATCATAATGTTTTCTTGATATAATTTGATGAGCCCTATCTTGATTCCAGATCAGCGATTACAATATTTCCGCAGCGCAACGGGGCGCAGCGAGACTTCCGCATATGGAACGCGCAACTAATCAGCTATGCAGCTTATCGAGGCCCTGGGGACACCATCTTAGGTATAGACATAATAATGTTGTAATTATGAAAATAAATTAATTTGTGGAATATAATTACGTCTTAAATTCATTCTTCAGGCGATCCTATGAATTTGGAGTTTACGGAGCTGTGCACCAGATTGGGATGGCGAGGACATGGTACTCGATGGGATATTTTGCCCTTAGTTCTGAGTGCTGGTGGACATGACCCTGATTATTTTGATATACCTGAGGAATTGATATTACAAGTTCCGTTAACGCATCCCAGGTGAGACTACTACTTTTATTTTTTTTATTTGATTAATAATTTGAATTACATGAAATTGATACGGATTTGGTAATATCTGAATGTAAAACAATTAGGTGCTTTACTTCTTATGTACAAGAGTTGATATTAATTGAGCATTATTTACACCCAGGGTAAATTAGGCTAATAATTTATTAATTAATATATTTAATTTTAACTGTTAGTTAATGACACATACCTAAGAGACGTCTGAATTTATTAAAAAAATTTTTTTGGCATTTTCAAAGTTTAATATAAATTAATTTTATAACCCTCTAATAGTTTCACAGGTCCACAAAATAAAAAAGTTGTCTTTACCGCTGAATACAAATCTAGAGTCAAAATCGAGGGTCAAATGCCAAAAAATTTAAAAAAATTAAAAAACGTTAAAATGTCCGATCTAGAATAATCAAAATCTTATCATTTCTGTCGTTTTCTGACCCTTTTTGCGTTAAATGACTATTGAGTATTCATTTAACTGATTTATTGTTTTTTTTTTTTGTAGAATCCAGCAGTATGTTGCCAAAACAGTTTCAGATATTCAAATTACAGAAAATAATGTTTACTTATTAATGCTGAATTATACATAAAACTTAATAGATCATTTTATTAAAACTCAATAATCAGTCAAGGTAAAAAGAAACCAGGGAACAACAGAAATTATAAGATTTTGATTAATCTAGATCGGACATTTTAACGTTTTTTAATTTTTTTTCAATTTTTGGCATTTGACCCTCGATTTTGACTCTAGATTTGTATTCAGCGGTAAAGACAACTTTTTTATTTTTAGAGTCATTAGATCAAAAATTTTGTCGTTTTTTTAATTTTTTGTCACTTGACCCGCTAATCTGACTTTAGTTTCGTATTTGGCAGTAAAACATTACATTAGAAAACACATGCCGCACACCCAATACAGACAACTTTTTTTATTTTGTGGATCTGTGTTATTAATTATAATATTATGTTAGCATTTTAAGTAATAAATGCTCTTTCATTATAAAGTATTTCAATACATTTTATCTATTCAACAAGATACTATACTTTGCCTATAATTTATTTAAACTAACGATTAAAATTTTTAAAACCAGTAAATCACAAATATCTTAACGACCTTATTGAATACTATGTATTTATTAGAATTTCCTTTGTTTTGGAGCAAAAAATGTGCCAGGCGTATAAAATTAGATATGAGCAGATACAGTTTCACTTTAAAATAATTTTTAAAAGCATTTAGCAAAAAGCATTAGATTTATTACATTAAGTTATCAGTGTTTTGCGTTTACTAGTTTTTTTTAATTTGCGATTCTAAGTCATATGAAAAACTATTAATTATTAATTATAGTTTTACTATTTGCAGAATTTTATAGTTATACTCGTTTTTCTAAAATCATTCCTCAATGTAGATAATTGTAAAAAAAACTTTAAACTTTGTTAATAGTTACAAGGCTATTTTTACAATCTGCATTAAGTTTAAAAAATGTGTTCTGTCTGAAAATAAATTACGCTTTCTGAAATAAGCTGAAATGATACATTATGTTGTTCTCAGTTTTATGTAGTCCAATTTTTATCTTCATTACTGCTATATGCATTTTTCCGTGCCAAGAATTTAAATTAAATTAAAAGTCAGACGAAGTAGACTTTTCAGAAGTAGTTTTGTGCTTATTCAGAAAATTACTTCCGAGAGAAGTTTGTTAATATGTCCCCAGGCGTCCAGTTTCCACAAACACTACGGTAACAAATGCTGAAAGCAAAAGAAATATTTACAGAACTAACGGTGGTGCATTTTTATGGCGGCTCTATTAAAGTAAAATGTTTACTTTTATCTTTTATTTTATGGACATCATGCAAGTATGTACTGATGTTAGTTCAAGTGAGAGGTATCATTTTGAAATCGTAAGTGCTAGTTTTGCATTTTACTGCCTGTTTTGAATTTACTGCTACAATATAGTTAAGTATTAAGTTGTTATTAGTAACCTGTAAATATTCACACATAAAATATATATATATATAATATATATATATATATATATACAGTGGTGTTGTGCTAATATTTTTTTTGCCGGAACGCTAAAATTTAAAATCCGGTTCATAAACCGGTTCCATAAATTTGATATATTTCGATAAGAACTCACAAATGCTTGACTTATAAAATATATTGACTTATATAATTATTATACAATTATTATATATATTGACTTATATAATATATTGACTTCTTATATAATTAACTCTATTATATACAGCTACTCTATAAGGTATTTATTATGATATAAAAGTACTCAAGATTTATTACAATACTCTATAAGACTTAATAATTACTTAATCTAATAATACGATAAATAACCTATTACCTATCATACTATACTATATTGTTGTATACCATAGGTAGATATCTATTATCAATCATACCGTGAGATACCTATACTGTCATTAACTTATTATACACCTACATACTTTTTATTTCTCATAAATATTACTGTCTAATTTATATATTTACCTATATTATATAGGTTTACCTTACGCCCTATGTATTATCTCTACCTATCTATTGTCTATACCGGGAATTGAACCCGGGACTTTCGCGTGGCGGTCGCGCACCTTAGCCACTACTCTATCGGGTACCCCCATTAATAATATAATATGGGACGCACTGTTGTTTCCGCGGGTCATTTTTTAATTAATTAGATAATTAATACTAAGGTGGCGCGACGACACGCGAAAAAAGTCGGTTGATTGTAGCGTTACGGTGGTGTAGTGGGTAAGGTTGCCGCGTGTTACGCGGCGGACCCGGGTTCGATTCTCGGTAGGGTTAATGTAGCGTGTAAGGGAAATTATAGGTAACAGGATATATAGTAGATATAGGTTAGGTGTATTCGGTATACAATGTAGGGATTTGAGAGTATATGATGAAATATAGCGTATGGTATAGATGTAAGGCGTGTAGTATAGAATGAAACGTATAGGCATACGTAAGGCTATAAAAATACACGAGTAGGAACCTATGATGTGGGTGTTAGCATATAAGAAATGAATTATAAGATTTAATTTATAAATATTATTTTTTCTATAAGAATTTTTATCTCGGTATTAAATATCTAAAATATCCAAAATATCCGTTAAGGCATCAATTACACCTTACTGCTGCCTTTCCCGTTATCACTTCATAGAAAATTAATTACTGCACTTTTAAACAATTATGTGCACCTTGCGACAATAGACATAGAATTATAAATTTTATTAAATGTTTGAGTAACTTGTGCGAGCTGATTTTCTTAAAATGTTCTTAGACTCGCAACTTACTGAATTCTAAAAATTCTAAATTTAAAAATATAATATAAAAATTATTATACCGCTGTCTGGAAGGGATGGCAATTTATAAATATACAGACTAATACATACAGAAATTGGATTTTTTCTATAATCCGTAATAATAAGAAAGTTTGCATTAGACCTAAGAAGGGATGCTTATTTACCTAAGCTATGGAAATATATATGGAAAAATTATATGATTTGCACATTCACCCTGTGCTCACTTAAACTAAACAATGATCATAATATATTTATCGAATTTTTAACAGTATTTACAAATTACATTAAAATCACCCAAAGCAAGTGAGTTAAAGACGTGTAATGTTTTAATTTGCCTTCCCCCTTTGAATTTAAAAATGGATTTTTCTGTGGGGCGTGTGCCCCACGTTGGGAATTAATACTCTAGGATTGATAATTCAATAATTGAGTGATCATCAATTCCACAGCACCTTCATCCGATTTTTAAAAGATCAAAGTTTCTATGAATATGCATACAAATCTCAAATTGTAGGCCGAAATTTAGACAATAAGTCTATTGAAATATCAGGGTAACTATTTTGCTATAAATTGTCAACTAATTTATCAATAAATAAATTTCAATAAAACAATGATTAAAAAAAATTACCAATAAATGTTGGATTGTAAAAATTTACAAGCGATCGAATGGCTTATATCTTCGCCTGGTATGGCAAAAAAATCATCCAATTATTAGAATATTACATTTGTTCGCAGTTCTTATGCTTTTGTATTTATAGAATTGCTTTTTTCGCTACAATCAATTTCCATTATATGAATGTCTTAAATTATTTATTTTATTCGACTAACGCCCGCTATGTCCGAAACAAGTCCAACTTATATCCGAAATAATCGGGCATCAGACACTTTTCGATCTTAAAGTAACATATGTGAAATTTGAAATACACTACTGTATTGTAATTAATATTTCAGTTCATACACCTCAATTTGTAACTAAATTAAAAACTACTTTAATAAAACCAGTGGTGTTGTGCTAATATTTTTTTGTCGGAACGCTAAAATTCAAAAACTGGTTTATAAACCGGTTCTCATGTTTTTTCCGGTTCCGTTCGAAAAGGAAAGTTCGAATGTATGTTTATTACAATAATAAGAACATTTAATAAAAATTATTTGAATAATAATTTATAAAATTTACTTATTAAATCATTTTCTGTGTGTAGCGATTTTTTTATATTTTTTCTTGCCGGAACGTGTTCGTTCCCAAAAATGATTTGCCGGAACGACGTTCCGGCGCGTTCCGGCTCGACATCTCTGTATATATATATATATATATATATATATATATATATATGTCCCAGACCTTTACCTCAGGCCGAAACGGGGTGATAGTATTGACCTTAACTGTCCTGAAAAAAATAGATGAAAAATTATCTCACAAAATTATGAGTTTTCAAGTGCATCATAGAGCTTTGGTAAATTATGACCATTTTTTGATTATTGTAGTTAACTTTTATTAATGTAGTTCATTTAAACTTTGAAACCGAAACCATAAATAGCATTTCTAAGACAACAGTAAAAAATATCAACACGATTGCTTTGAGTTTTCTAGGATGAAGACTTTTTGTTGAACTATGAATTTAAAAATTTTCAAAATTAGTCTAATTTGAGAAGCCGGAAAATTTTACGATTTCTAATAAAATTTTGCATATATGTACTGAATTCATCGTCTTTTAATGAACATCCTAAAATGTTATAGGCATACGAAAAGTGATTTAATTATAAAAGCTCATTAAAGTTTAGAAAGGTTGCTAATTGTAAATTTATCAAGCGCATTTACGTTTGTTTGTTTGATAATGTATAAATTATCGATTACAATTGGCATCTTAACAACTTACTAAAAAATTGATTAAATAGCCATTTCTTGTAACATTATAAAGTCCTCGATGCAACTCGATATACTGATAAACCGCTTATATTAATCTATTGATTTTTTATTTATTAAGTCGATTATATACATATATCAAAAAGTCGTTGCAACTTGTATAGAGAGAAGATGTCACTCAACTGATTTTAATTTTACCATAATATTGCAACAATTACGGTGGCTGTAAATTCTATGTTTACTTTGTTTACAAATTATCTTGGCGCCCTTATCGTATTATTTGTAACCACATAAACCAAGCCCGCATATTAGCAATAAATCTCTCATTGAGTCTTACATTGTGTTCTAGATATTTTCGTATCTTGTTTCGATTCGTAACCATATAAGCAATGGTTTTCTTTTAGTTTATAAACTTCTTTATAGTGCGAATTGAAGTAAAGACAATTTAATAAAAACATTTCTTATTTACATACAATGATAATAACAACTGTTAGTTCATTAACATGTACCGTGATCTAATCTTTATGCAATACCATATTAATATGATGAAATGTACTCACTAATGTATAGTCATTTTGATTACCTAAATTGCTAGTTATAATTCAGAATCTACCTAAGCTATCCATTGGGTTAACATATGATAACAGCATGAAGTTTGACATCAAGTTCTGATTTTTTTTTTTTGAATATGAGAATAAAAAATATATTGTTATTTTAGTATGAACTTTATATTTGCTATCATGAATTGCTGCAATCGTAGCATTGCTAAGTAAAAAGTGCGATCTAGAAGCTTTCTCGCAAAATTAGTAATAACTCAGATTATAAAATTACATTAAAAATATTATCTAAAATCTACCATATTTTACTACTACTCTCAAAATATATTTTTCACTTTAGAATAAAGTTTTATATTCATTCAGTTATAAATTCAAATGTATTGTATTCAGTTAAGCTAAAATTTTAATATTACACGAGTGTTCAGATGAAGTAAAAAATGGCATTTACTATTAAACTGCTCTTTGATTTCATCTTTACTATAATGATTATCTCAATCAAAAAACTTCGATTGCAATATTTGCTCTGTTGTTTAAATTTTAATTATTTTGAAAGTATTTGTGAAGTCTAGACTGCTCATCAAGTAATCTTCATTACATCAATAGCATACTGAATATCTCAAATGCCTTAACTACGATGTCTATATGTAAATTATAAATCATATTAGTATAGTTACATAGATAGTTCAGAAGTTTACTTTCATGATTGAATATTCCTCAGTATTTGTAATGCAATTTTATGCTTTGTAAATCTACTGTTAATATAACAAAATATGTGAAGAAAGTGATATAAAACTTATCAAATATACAGCATTTTCACATTTTTGCCACAGTGTTTATTTTTTTAATGGCATATGTAGTTTCTGTTTTACTTGCAAAATTCTTCTTTGTATATACGTTTATAAAAAGATTGCTATAGTTCTCTTTAATTATTTTTTTATTAGACAAATTTAAATCAAGAAATTGTAGTAATTTTAATTTTTTGTACGTCATAAATAAATTGTACCGTCATACGATACGATCAAAAGTAGTGGAAGTTATCTTAAACCTTCCGAATTCTAATTAGGAGGCTAAGTCAAACCTGTAAGTCGACTTTTCTGAACCAAATATTTTCAACATTTCAAGTACTTTAAATTATACAACTATGTTCGAGTAAGCTATTTTTAATGTTTATGCTCGATCAGATGGATACATAAATACGTTTATATAAATACATATAGTTTTATGGTTTATATGCGCGTTTAAATAGCCATAAACTAATCTCGATCATTTCGCGTTTGATGTCTTTAATAGATCGGTTTTGATAGCATATATTAATCCACATAACCGCAGATGTTATATGAAATAATAGCCATATCAGAAATTATTGCTATGCGTTCGTTTGAATGCATTTATGGCAGTTCAATCTATTGTCTGAATATACAATCAAACAGTTTGGAATCATTTTATTTTCAAATATTGTAAATCAAGATAATTTTATAAAGAATACAAAAACTATTTGAATCCATTCATACAACGTACTATTTTCTTTAGCTCAGTTAACTTTAATGGAACTCTAAAATATTTTTATATATAAATGTATACATATATAGAGTAGAGTAAGATTTGCAGGTCTGCGGATAAAAAAGTCCACCACCATTTTCTTAATACCAAGTAAGTTAGAAATTTTTTAACAATAATATTTGAAAGTAAAGGGCAAAAGATGTATAACCAGTCACCACCTTAAATCAAGTAATGTCGCTATCATAGCGATAAACGATTATGTTTGAAAATCTATAACAAAAGTATTTTCTTTTGTAGTTAGTTTTTTTTTGGTTTTGAGCACTGTTGTTTGGTTTACTAAACCTCAATATAATTATCAAGTACACGTTATTTAAGTATTTTATGAGATGTATTGTTAATTTAAATTTTGATTCAACTGATGTTTTATATATAGGGTAAAAAAGACGAACCTTCACCCTGTAAGGTGTAAACAATAAAAATAGTGAATAATAAATTAATTAAGTTGAAAACTCAATTTCGCAAGAGATAAATTAGATAAACAGTTATTCCAACTTTGCTGATGAACATTTATGACGAAATATCATTGCAAAGTTATATACAGTATTTCATATACAATCATTACAATTACAGTCATATACAATCATTGTCCAAAATGTACCAATAAAATTTTTCATGTTTTGCATTGGTTGAATATTGTAGCTAGTATTTAGTGAAATCCCTTTAAAATTAAAATCGAAACACTGGATCTCATTGTCCCCTGGCTGTCTTTTATCCTATGAGTAAAAGGTACAAGGTGACAAATTTCTGAAAAACAGCAAAAATAACATTTCTTCAATTATGAATTAGTTGGGAGTTTTACTGAACATAGTCAGATAGTTGTTTTTTATTATTTGTGGTGATATAATGGTTTTTACAATACAATTACTCAAAGTCAATTTAAACCTTTGTGCCCCGCCCTATCCTATTTCGAACATGTTTATTAGCAGACATTCTGCTGGATAGATTTTTTTACTAATAATATCATATTATATATTTATATTAAAATGGCAGAATTCGCACAACATTTTTCTTAATTTGGGTTTTAATATGTCATAAATAATGTATATTCATATTATATTTATATAGAAGACTGGAGAGTTAAATGTCTAATATTATATTTAAATTTATATATTTATACTTATATTACGCTTTTTGTGTGTCCGAAGAATTTCAGTTATGTTTTCTAGATAATTGGATTTGCTATTTTCTCGGCCTTTTTAATCATTCTGAATCGTTTGAGACCAAAAAAGGAAAAAATATGTGTGTGCATAAGCCTATTCCTTGGTTTCTCATCGACAAACGAATTTACCAATTTCAAATATTTAATAGCCATTTGTAACTCGATGAAAACTCGCGATTTTCAGTTTTGAAGATCGTATAAGTCGTTTCTTTGTAATTTCGAAACAATACAAAAAATGTCATGGTGATTAGTTTTTGGAAAAAATCGACAGCGCTCTTCATAATTCCACAATTTATATTAAAACTAGTGGGGTCTATGGCATTGTGCCTTGAGGCAAATTGCTGGAACTTCCCGTACCGTAACGAAATGTTTGAGGAATACTGAATGTTTTCAAATAGATTATTATTAATATTGTAACATCGTCTAATATTTATAAGAATTATATAAACTAAATTGCAAAGTTGAAATTATAAGTTTAAAGTATATTAGAACTATAGTCAGAATTAAAAATAAAATCTGAAATTCAAAAAATTTTTTTTTGAAAATCAATTACTTTGTTTAGACAAGCAGAAAGTTCTTTGAATCATTTAAATCAGACGCTTAGTTCTCTCAAAAACTGCCATTATTTGCACATTTAGCTCCATATCTTCGAAATGGCTGGGCCTGCCTTTGCCAAAAACTAACGATCCTTTTTCCCAGTCATTACTAATTGAATATTTTTTAGATCATTCAATTCGGATACTCCGTTCTCTCAAAAACTCGAATTCTATTTTCTGCACTCTTTGCTCCGTATCTCCGTAACGGCTGGACCTGCCTTTGTCAAAAACTAATCAGCTCTTTTCACTATCAATAGGAATCGAGGAGTTTTTGAACCATTCAAAGCGGTTGATCCGTTCGCCCGAAAACGTGACTGGAAATTTGTATCCATATATACATACACACACACACACACATCCGTTTTTTCTGAGGTATGCCAAAATGTTCAGAAACATTCAAAACGTCGAGAAATGTAAAAATTTTCAATTTTGATTTTCGGCCTATTACAATAACTTACCCTACGGGAAGTTAAAAATAGCCTTTTGCGATTTTAATAAGAGTTGACATTGTTTATAGAGTTAGTGATCTGAAAAAGAACATTAGGCAATATTAAATATTAAGATATACAATAAGATATACCTCTGTGTGCACTATATCATATAAGTTTACTAATAATATGTTTTTTTAAAAGATATCAATTGGAAATTGATTAGATTATAGTGCAAGCAAACTTTATTTCTGAAAGAAACATTGAACGTTTTATGTAAATAGCTAATCTTCTGATTAGGTTAATTATTCACACTATTATAATGTTTATGCATGTTTTCTTAATTTAAAATTCCATTTCCACTTACACTAGGTGATACAGTTTTTACACAGTTATGTCTTTTCTGAACGTTTTTTACGAATGTCATACAACCATTTAAAATTACCTGTAACATTTTGTTACATTTATCCCTCATGTATAATATTTTGTCGTTTTCCAGTTACCCCTGGTTTCCAGAATTGGATCTGCGCTGGTACGCCCTGCCCGCCGTCTCTAATATGTTGTTCGAATGCGGCGGTTTGCAGTTCACGGCGACCGCTTTCAACGGATGGTACATGAGCACGGAGATTGCGTGCCGGAACATGTGCGATCAGGGAAGATTTAACATGCTAGAGGTGAGTGAGGCTATGCAGGAAAAACATACATTTTGGACACCATTTGTACAATTTATTATCTCTCTTATATTTTCATGAGTTTTAAGGCTTGTGGTTTTACAAAAATCTAGATAAATTGGCCGTTGATAAATTAAAATTAAACTATTATAAGGCATCGTGCCTTAAGACAAATTGCTAGAACTTCCGGTACTTTAATGATTATTTGAGGAATATCAAATGTTTTTAAATAGATTATTATAAATAATGTAACTCTTATTATTCTTAATTTATAAAAAGTAAATGAACAAAATTTAATCAATCGGATCTAAAATAAAGAGCATTGTCTAATATTTCTGAGTATTATATAAATTGAATTACAGTTAAAATTATTTATTTAAAGTATATAAGTGATGTTTAGAACTTTAGATAAAATTAGTTTTCAACTTATTTTTCAATATTCAATATTGTTTGAAAATTAAAAAATTTTTTTTTGCAAAAGCAATCGTCAACACAAACTGAAAGTTTTTTAAATCATTCTAATCGGATGCTTAGTTCTCACAAAAACTTTCATTTTTTGCACATTTAGCTCCGTATCTGCGAAATGACTGGACCTGCCTTCGCCAAAATTTAATCACCACTTCTACCCATCACTAGGAATCGAATGTTTTTTGGATCAAATCGATTGACCCGTTCTCTTAAAAAATGATATTTTTTACTCAATTTTTCCGAAGCCGCTAAATCTGCCAAAATCTAGTACATCTCTCTATCAATAGCAATCGATTGCTTTTTGAATTGTTCAAATCGGTTCATCCATACGCGCAAAATCGTCGACGAAAAATTGTCTCCACACATACACACACACAAATTCAGTATTTCTGAGGTATAACGTTCAAAAGCCTCTGAAACGTTAAGATATGCAAAAATTTTCAAATTCGATTTTTTGCGATTACTATTACTTACCCTACGGGAAGTTAATAAACTAAATCCTTATTTTTTTAATAATATTGCAATAAAAAATAAAAGGGAAGGTCTAATAATATTATTCAATAAGGAAGGTCTAATAATTTTGAGTTTTGATATTGAGTCTTTATTTTGAGCTTCTTCAAAGTATGTCTACCAAATATTTCTATTTATTTGCACCAATACTGAAGAAAATTAACAAATTATCTTGAAAGCGTGAAATGAAGCGATTGATTTATTGTTACTTTGCTATATTCTAAATTAGGTATATTAAAAAAACATAACAATTGTGTAGTGAAGATTTCTATATTATAGATGAGATAGTTACAAAGTACTGTAGTTAAAGTTAGAACTTACATATTCAGAGAAATCTTAAAATCTACTGACTTCACTTTAAGTGAATTAATAATAACACTGTGGACTTTATTACTTAGATGACCTATTTGCATGGATAATGAATTAGACAGTTAAATACCAAGTCCTTCGATTTTGTTCGAGTAAAATTAGTGAAAATTATAAACAAATTACTGAATGATTATTGTTTTTAATATATTTTATGAGCGAGGCACAAAGGTTCAATTTGACTTTCAGTAATTTTACTTTCCATAAACCAAATGAATAACATATCATAACACATAACACGTATAAAACATCTATCGAACTATGTTTAGTAAAATTTTTTGTTACTTCCCAATTATAGAAATATATTTTTTACTATTTTTATAGAACTAATATCTGTACCTTCCTACTCTGTAGACAAGGTGAAAATTCTTTTACTTAGTTTTAAAGGAAGGATTTTTCGAAATAAAAGCTACATTATTATTATATATATTATTATTATTATATACATTATTATTATTATATATATATTTAATTAATGCGAAATACAAATTTTATGAGCACATTCATTACAAAGATAACATCGTATATAACCTTGATCTGGTTTTTTGTTTTACTCAATTTACTATTTTCTTATAGCTTCTGCCTTTACCAGGAAAAATTTACGAATTGTTTTTTTTTCCCCGACCCAACAGTATGCTCTTATAGAGAGGTTATCTAAAACAACTACAATCTAACTCGAAAGCAATAATACATCTCAGAAAAAATACAATAATAACTTGAAAATTATATTAATGTATCATAACAAAAGTACAATAAAAGAGATCATAATCAAAAAAATACTAACGATTTTTTTTGTTATAAATACTAATACATCGCCACTTATCTCCTGATAGCAAAATCGTAAGAATTGAGATGATGGCTTCTAGTTAAATATTTTGCTTTCTACTTGAAAATAAAATTATTAAAAAAAATTATACTTCTCTTGTTTTCGAGGTAATGGTGCAGAACCTTTTTACTCACGGACTATAATAAATATAACACTTTTCGTGAAAACTTTATTAACTAATAATATTTTATCATAAAAGTTTTAAAATATTGCAAGGTATTTCGCAAATATTTATCACACATAATTTTACATTTCACTTTATGCTTTCACAGTTTAAAATTCACTTTGATACTTAAAACTTAAGAAAAAACGTAAGAAATTTGAAGATTTTTTTGGTAACAATTTTAGGCAATAGCAATGAATCTTTTTCATGAATAATTACAATTTGATAAATCCAGCATCTATTTGTTGTAAAATGGAACTAGTACTAAATTCGTGTTTTGTTTGGAAGATAGAATGTTTGCGAGCTGAATCAGCAGACAAGCAATATAAAACAATAGATTCCGACCATCCAATGCTGTTTACATAATTGTATTAGAAATACATGTATTTGTGTCTATGACATTTTCTGGAAGTCTTTGAAGCACATAATTTAATTACAAACTACACATAGGGGTATACAACGATACACAATGTGTCAAAAATAGTACGAAATGCATATTGTATGTAATTCTCTTACGTGATGAATGTGACGTAAAAATGTAAAAATAGATTTTCCTGAACAATTGGGGACTTTGGTAGACATCGTTTTGTTTTTTGGCTATTACTATCTAAATAAAATAATCCAAATTTTAAATTTAAAACCTGTAAAAACTAAGTATTAATGAATGTTATAGGTCCATTTAATAATTAATTAAAATATTTTGTAATCAAAAGTCTAACAACAAGGTTTTTCCTCTAAATGTTGCGTCAAAGTTTTAAATAGATTTTTTTATAAAATCGTTTTTTAAAAATCCACACACATATTTTTTTTAAGTTAAGTTTGCCAAAAGACAATATAATGGATTGCCATTCATTTTATTGAGCTATAAAACTCAATTATTTTTTATTAATGTTTATAAGAAATTTAATAATCAAATTATCTCTATATATAAATGTAATATTATCTTTATATTATCTCTATATATAAATGTAATATTATCTCTATATATAAATGTAATATTATAAATGTAATAGTTTTAAGTGGTATTTTATTTCGAGGCAAGTAGCATGAACTTCCCAATATGTGTATATAATAAATTCAATCAATATCCATTACAATTTGTGCATGATCTACCTGTCTATCTGTCTGTATTTCTAACTGTTTACAAGGCTACCTTTTCACCTACTTGTACACCATTCTACCAGCCTACCTACTATTAACTAGTCTGTCTTTCTGTTCACCTTTCTATTTTTCTACTTGTTTAACTAATTACATATTTAGCTTACTTCCTGACAATCAAAAAATACATGTAGAAAAATATACCCAAACATTTTTCTATTTGAATTTTTCTGTCTGCTGTTTTAACTGTCAACTATTTTTCCAGTCTACTAGTCTATTTTTCTATCTGTTTACTTGATTGCTTGCCTACGTGTTTACCTGTTCACCTCTCTACCTGTCTACCTGTCTACCTGTCGGCTTATCTACCTGTCTACCACTCTATATGTCTACCTCTATTTTCATCTGCTTATTTACTTGTTTTATTGTATACTAATGCATATCTATCAGTCTATCTCACATTTATTTTATTTTGTCTTATATTAAGGCATTTAGTCTCATGAAAAGTTGCATGAACTTGCCAATATTTCTAAATAATCGACTTATTCAATAAAAAGTAAATATATTCCATAAAAGTTAAATTCCAATGAAAATGTTAAAAAAATAACAAATAGTTACAAATAAGTTTTGGTTATATATTTTATAAAAATAAAATAATGTTTTGTACTAAATGTATGAATCATTATTTTTTTGATAATAATAAATATGATTTTTACTGAATTACATTTACGAATCTTGAACGATAAGCACGTATATCCATTAATGGATGCACACATTTTCTATTATATATATCAAGTGCACCTTTAACTCGTTCTAGAGAATATTTTTCTTAGAACCGTTATGTTGAAAATAACGAGATATAGAAGGTTTATGAATTTCATGCATTTATTCTAGAAGCACATCTTATTATTCAAGATAAGCCTGGAGCAATCGTTCGGCTTCTACGTTCATCTATTGTTCTCAAAATTTTTATTTCTTCACCAATTAAAATGAAAAGGTAAACTGAATCTCTTCAGATTTTTTCTAAGAAACTTCGTATCGTAGGAAAGAAAGCAAACTTTTATACAAAACCATAGAAATGGCCTACCAGATATCTTTTTTTCCTTGTACATATATAAGGTAGAGCGGAGCTCTAGGTCCACTTTGAATTAGAGCAATTATATTGTGAAAACCAAATTAGTTGTATGACAACAAATAGCACATATCAAACAAACAACTATCTGACTATGTTTAGTAAAACTCCAAGCTAATTCATCCACCATTGTAGGAATGTGTTTTTGATTGCTGTTTTTTTAAATTTGTCACCTGGTTTCTTTTACCCTATAGGTGGGGTAAAATCGGATGGGCAAAGGTTATAAAAAAAAGGTTGATTCTAACTTGAAATTAACAATAAATATTATAAAACAATCAAACAATGTACACTTAAAAATATTAAGAGTCTTGTGAACCAAAAAAACTAACAATGAAAACAAACTTTTGTTATGGATTTTTAAACATTGCCATTTATTATCTCCGTTAGCATCCTCGTAAGAATCAAGGTCGTAGCTGGTTATACATCTTTTTCCCTCTACTTTC